GTGCATTCGGGTACATGGAGTGTTCGGCAAAGACCAAAGACGGTGTGAGGGAGGTGTTTGAAATGGCCACTAGAGCTGCTTTGCAAGCCCGGCGTGGCAAGAAAAAGTCCGGGTGCCTTCTCTTATAAAGCGTGGCCAGAGGAAGATGGCCAAAGCAGCACCCTGCACTTGAGTAATTTTGAAGTGCTGTTTATTAATCTTAGTGTATGATTACTGGCCTTTTTCATTATCTATAATTTACTTAAGAGATTTAAAAATCGAGTCATCTTGCTACGAGTATTTAGAAGCCAACCATGATTTTTATAACAATCTGCATCAAATTCATCTGTGCACCCAAGGTTAACCTCAACATTCCTCTAACAAACCTTTTCTGCACTCACAGGATATGCCAGGCGCTAATTGAAGACAATTCTCTATCTTCTTTCTTCTCTCTAGAAAGAGAAAAAGCTGTCAACACAGAGGATTGGTCTGTAACTACTTTATAACTAACGTCCTATTCTAATTGAGTACAACAGTTACAAGGCTGTATGGAATCGAGCGTAGCTTCAGTGCTATCACATTTAGGAAGATCTGATTTTCATGGCTCGGTGGTGTAAAAACATGAGTTTGAAAATGTGATCACTCTGAAATGACCGAGTCCCATTCAGCTAAGGAAAAGTGAGGGTTCTGTGGTTTCATGTTAGTTACCTTTTAGTTACTGTGTAATTAGTGCCAGTTTAAATGTATGTTACCAAAAATAAATCTATTTACCCCAGCTTAGATGTAGTATTTTTTGTATAATTGGATTTCCTAATACTGTTACTTGTAACCTCTGCGTTAAGGTGTTCTGGGTTTTTTAAGAAACTGTATTTGAAAATAAAGTCCGATGGAAAGCAGCTGATCCTCTTCCCCGTTCATTTGTAAGAGTCTGACCCATTCGAATGATTTGAGTGGTCTGCACACCCAGGAGGAGTTTTTTCCATGACGTGATGTAGGGATGAGAAAAGAGCCTGCTCACACTCAAAGCTTCTGAACTGTTCAGTTGCCTTAAATTCATTGCTGGACCCAGTTTCAAAACTTTAAAAAAAAAAAAAAAAGAAACTTTTTGTGTAAGTTTGGTTACCATGTAGTGATCAGACTCCTAACCTGTGAACTTCTTGCTGTTCTGCAGCCAACTAAACTCTTTCTGTATTTTCATTTTTCCAAGAACTAATAGAATAAAGGCAGTTTTCTAAGCTCCCTGTATCCTGGTGTCTGTATTCCTCACTCTGGGTTTTTGGCCCAGCATCTGACAGCCTGAATCAGAAATACCATTTTTGATACAGCTGTGAGAGGATTCACTGAGCAGTTGCAAGTGCTTTAATACTCATTTTTGTTTCCCAGCAAGTGATACCATCCACTGCTCACGGTGGTTTCCGAGTGCTGCAGCAGAGCAGAGGTGGAATATCTCACCTGGCCCCTGCAGTGAGCAGCAAAGCTTCCCAGGAGCTTTTGATACTCAGACGAGAGGCCATCAGTTGAGCTGAACTTGTTGGTTCTGAGCACAAGACTAGAGGAGCAGGAGGAGGCTGTGCAGGAGGAAGGCAGGAGCAGTGTTGCTGTGGGAGCATGTGATGGTTTGCAGGTGGTTGGCAAGGTGTTTGCTGGGCCGTTCCATGAGGGATGCCTTGGAGCGCTGCAACAAGGGCTGGGCTCAAAGTGTAGGCCCTGTGCTGCACCCAGGTTGGAGAGCAGATTGTGCTGCTCCTGGGGGAGAAATGACAGGGAACAGCAGCGGGCATCTCCACACTCACACTGGGATTTACAGCAGCTGCTGCTGAGCCAAGAGCCTCCACGCTGGGCTGAGCAGGAGGGAGTCCAATTGCTGATGACAGCCCATGTCAGTGAGCACCTAGCTGCATCCCATAATGGCCTACAAAACACCCACATCACTTTTTTTTCTTTTTTGGACAGTGTTCCTGATTCCTTTTCCTGCAGCAAAGGAGACACAGACCCAGCCATAGGAGTGCCCAGTACCTCTGGTCCTTGTGCTCCCTGTGCAGCCACAGACACCCAGAGTGAGCCTCTGGCCAGCCCGATGGTGTCACCTGCCCCACCCTTCTCTCCTTCCTCTCCTGGGTGTTTGTCCTCCCCCCGTGGGTGACTGGGCTGAACAGAGCAGGAAGTTCACAGCTGCAGCGGGGGCTGCCTGGGAGGATTTCATTCGCTGCCCTGCTGACAAGTTTAGTTACTCACTTGCGGTTCCCTTTTTTTGGGGGGTGTTGCAGTTGAACAAAACCGGGGCTTTTCAGTCTTGCAGGGCAAGAGGGTTGCAATTTGCTGTGGTCACAGTTACAGAGCAGCTCTTCAGGGGCCTGGAGTCAGGCCTGCTCCTCAGAGCCAGCTGTGTATCTGTGGATGCACTTCCACCCAGCAGCGACTGTTATCCCAATTTTAAGCTCTTGCTGACCTCCAACACCATCTGATTCCTCAGCCTTCCTGCCTTCGAGGGCTGGCAGCCTGGCTCCCTTTTGGTTCCTGCCACATCTGTCACCTCTGGAAGCCACGTTTTTTCTGGATGAAACCGAGCTGAGGAGACAGACAGCCAGACCTGACCTGGGAAATGAGAGCTTGGCACTTGTGCAGAGTGATCCAGGCTGGCAAGGGGCAGGGGAAAAGCTGGGAGTGCCAGCCCCCTGAGCAGGGGAGGGAGTTCATCGGCTGAACTGAGGAGATGATGTAAGCAGGAGGCCAGAAGGTGTGGTTTTGTGGCCTTTGTGATTCCTCACTGCTGTTAAACAGCAGTTTTCTGATCTCATAGGACAACTGTCACTTGTCACACACCTCAAAAGGTGTCCCTTGAGCCCATCTAGTCCCTCGGGAGCTTCTGGCACTCCTCTGGCTCCAAGTTCAGCTGGCTCCACAGAACGTGTCCAGGCACAGGCCATCACTCTGAGCCAAAAAGGAAGTTCAACTCATTCTGTGTCGTTAAACCTCGCTCATCAAGGACAGGAAAGCCCTAACCTGCACTTCTCTGAAAAGGGCAGGGCCCCAGCAGTAAACTCCCTATTTCAGATGAACTCCCCAAGTCCAGACAGGTCTGAAGGTGCCAGTCTGAGCAAGTGTCAAAAGTGGCAGCAGAGATGCCTCTGTGGCCCTGCCCTAGAGGTCACCCCGAAGGGCAATTCCTCTTCTTCAGGAACCCTGGCTTGCCGTGCCCAGGGGGGCAGGTGAGGAGGAGTCTGTGCAGACTGTAACCATCAATTTACTCAAGAAGTCATGTGTTTCTGCTCATCCATCAGCCGTTTTTCCAGCTCTGATCTCTCTCAGGACACTTGTCATGGCTCATGCCATTGCTGCTGCAACACACTGCAGGTCCCCAAAGATGCAAGACAATCGGGCAAGTCCCCAGAACTTGCCACAACCAGGAAGTGGAACTATTCCAGCTCCCAATTGTGAGGGCAGGTGCCAGAAGTGGCTTAAAGCAAAACCCCCAGACCCTGCAGTCACCTGGGCACCCAGACCAGAGACAGAGCATTGTGTGGTGCCCGTTGGTGACAGCTGGCATTTTGTGACAAGTCCCTGCTCCCAAGCACGAAAGAGGCAGACAGCACGGGGGGGGGCCTGAGTGCATCCCCCATGCGGGGCCCAGGCTGCCTTGGCTGGGAGCCAGGGCTGATAAGCAGCTGTCTGACCTTGGGCTGTTGTGAACGGAGCTCACTTGGCACAGATGCTGGCAGGAGCCTCAGCAGGGGCTCCCTGCTTCCCCTGGGGAGCTGTGCTGGAGCTGAGGCCCTGGCTCTTTGTCCCTGCCAAGCTGTGCTTCCCCACGGTCCCTGTTGGTCCAACCCATGGACATGGCCTCGAGGCCTGACCCCAGACCTGCCTCTTCATGAGGTGCTCTGGAGGAGGGCAGTGTTTCACAAAGACCTGTGGAGGAGGGGCTGGGCCACGTTGCCTGGTGTGGGCATAGCCTAGTTCACTTAGGGCTGCCTTGAATACATGGGAAAAAAGAGCAGTCACTCCTGTGCAACTTATGGAAGCAGTAAGGCAAGAAATGGAAAAGTCAAGGATAGGAAAAAGCAACCCCTCCTCCTTTTTATCTAGTGAGGATATAGCAAGCTGTAGCCCTTTATGGCCCTATGTATGTAGGCTTTACCAGCCTCAAAGAAGTGGAAAAACTATAAAAGGATACTATAAGGGAATTTATGGCCCCTCTTGGACACAAACTGAAGGTGTTCCTCTCCCTGAAGCCACTCTCAGTAGCAGCAGTGCTCTGGAGGATGCTGCAGCCCTGGTGCTGCGCTGTCACCACAAAGGCTGGAGCTCCTGGGATCACAGAATCACAGAATCAGCTAGGTTGGAAAAGACCTCTGAAATCATCAAGTCCAACCTTTCACTTAACACCACCTTGCTTCCTAGACCACGGCACTAAGTGCCACATCCAGTCTCTTCTTAAATACCTCCAGGGACGGTGAAACCACCACCTCCCTGGGCAGCCCATTCCAACGTTTGACCACTCTCCCTGACCAATTTGCGTTTTGCTGCTTTTTTCCACAGCGTTCCCGATGAGCTGCGACACTTCCCTGTGGATGCTACATCCACTACCCGTGGATGTAACAAACCACCCCGTTCCGTGCCTTCCACCGCTCAGAGACCCGCCGAGCCTTTCAGAGCCGACACGCCTGGCCCGATTCTCCTCGGGACTCCTCCATCGGGCGCCGATGCCGCGGGCGGGGCAGGGCTCGGCAGGGCCGTGCCGGCAGTTCAGGGCGGTGGCGGAGGCGGGTCCCGGCGGTCGGGGAGGTATCGGAGGAGGGTCCCGGCGGCTCGGGAGGTGGAGGGATCGAGGAGGCGGGTCCCGGCGGCTCGGGTCGGTGGTGGAGGCGGATCCCGGCGACTCGGGGCGGTGGTGGAGGCGGGTCCCGGCGGCTCGGGGAGGTATCGGAGGCAGGTCCCGGCGGCTCGGGGCGGTGGTGGAGGCGGATCCCGGCGGCTCGGGGCAGGCCGAGCGCGGCGGCGGCGGGAGCTCAGTGCGGACCATGTCGGCGGCGGGCGCGGGCGGGCGAGCAGCGGGACTGGCGGCGGGGCTGGCGGGGCTGGTGGCGCGGCCGCTCGGCGCGGCGGAGCCGCTGTCGCTGGGCTCGCTGCAGGGGAAGGTGCTGCTGGTGGTGAACGTGGCGTCGCTCTGAGGCACCACCACCCGCGACTACCTGCAGCTCAACGAGCTGCAGCAGCGCTACGGGCCCCGCGGGCTCCAGGTGCTCGGCTTCCCCTGCAACCAGTTCGGCCACCAGGTAGGGCGGGAGCGGGGCCGGGGAGCGGGGCCGGGGAGCGGGGCCGGGGAGCGGGGCCGGGGAGCGCGGAGGAGCCGCCCACCCCATGCGGGCTCTCACGGGCTTTGCGCGGGGCGGGCTTGTTTTTGTTTTCCCCAGGAAAATGGCACCAACGATGAGATCCTGCCCATGCTGGAGCACGTTCGTCCTGGCAACGGGTTCAAGCCCAATTTCATCATGTTCGAGAAGTGCGAGGTGAACGGAAAGGACGCGCACCCGCTCTTCACGTTCCTGAAAGAGGCGCTGCCCTTCCCGCACGACGACCCCTCCTCGCTGATGACCAACCCGCAGTACATCATCTGGTCCCCGGTCTGCCGCAACGACATCGCCTGGAACTTCGAGAAGTTCCTCATCGGCCCCGACGGGGTGCCCTTCAAACGCTACAGCCGGCGTTTCGAAACCATCAAGATCCAGGACGACATCGAGTTGCTTCTGCAGAAGGCTCCCTAGAAAGTCCTCTGCCCATTCCCCTCGCTCCCTGCTCCCCTCACTGTGCACCTGCTTATTTTTCTCACAGGGAGCTGCTGCTCTGGCAGAAATCCCAATGTCTCGTGCAGGTTTTGCTTATGATGGCGCATCTTCCAAATCCTTGAAGTGTACCTGATGTTTTCAAAAGTTGCACGGGAATGTTTGGGAAGCTAAGCCAGGGCAAGCAGCTGTGAATCTCAGTACCTTACTGTGATTCTCTGAATAAAAAAATGTGTACTTTCTTTAAGGCTGTGGCTTGATAAATCTGGGTGAACGGGGTGAAACATGGTGGGTGCATTAGCTGTTCATCAGCCTGCGTGGGTGCTCACAGACTCAGAGCACTCGAGTGTGGTGGTGCAGCCAGGCTGAGGGCAGCGTGACGGGCAAACAACCTTCATGAACTCTGCAAGCTGTGAACCAGAGTCTGCCCCACATGTAGGGAGCCTGGCAGAGTGGGAGGGTGGCTTGGAACAGACAGACCTCACCCCACTGCTTACTGGACCTCCCTCAGGGCTCCCCTGCAGAGGGAACGTGCTGGCACATGGCCAGGGGTTGATTTTACACTGACAAGTTCCCAGCGTAGCTACCAGCGACAGGCTGCAACACGTTGATAACTGTTGGGGCAGGGAGATGAGTGATCCTGCAGCCTGGGCTGGGGTAAGAAGAGCCTGTTGGCCAAGGCCCATCTCGTTATCTGCCCTCTGTTAGCGGGTGCACCTAGAACAGGAGCAGCACCCGCTGTTGTTGCTGCACCTCCCCTTGTCCCAGAGCCACTGCACCCTCACTGCCTTAGTGTCTCCTGGCTCTATGGCCTTTTGCACTGCTGGTAGCTCAGCATGGATCCCTACATACTAGCTCAGCCCTACATGAAACCTGAATCCCCTTTGTGCATCCCCAACACCTTGCAGTGCAGGAATCACAAATAACCAGTTCTGTCCTGTTCCCAGTACAATACCAGCCCATTCAGCCACTTCTCCCATGGAACTGTGCCTCGCCTTGGAGTGTCCTTGTTGCCCTTTGGGCACGGGAAATACATGTGACACTCCAAGTGCAGGTCTGTCAGGGTTCACGAAATATTTTCTCTTTTTTTACTCCTTCCCTAACACTTTTTTGACTTCTGGCAACCACGAAGCTGACAAAGTATTTAATGGAGTTGCTACAATTGGACTCTATAATCTTAGAGGTATTTTCCAACCTTAATGATTCTATGATTCAATAATAATTCTGCATGTTGTCCCTGCACAGCAATCCCGGTTTTATAGACTGCTGCTGAATGGCTGGAATTAGGATTGGTTTTCCCTGAAAAACTGTGAGCCTGTGCCAAATTTTACCGGCTGTCCTTCTGCCCAGTGGCTCAGGTCCTTCTGCAGGGACATTTTCACTCCCTAAATGGCTCTGTGAGCACATTTTCATTACAAGCCACTCCTCACAAGGCCTCATAGCACTGATTATAAACTTGGTGTGGGACTGAGGAGTCCTAACCCAGACTAGAAACTTGGGCTCTCAAAGGGAAGGTGTAACACTTTCAAGCATTAGTTTTCATAATAAAAACATTTGAGATTTGAGGGTTTGGGGTTTTTTTTCCTGTTTGTAGCTTCTCACTTCACAAATTCACCAGCTTCTTTGTTACTGTACCTACATCCAAGGCTCTCTCAAGGCTGAGGAGAGACTGGGGCAGATCCTCCACTTGGCACCGCTCTGTACCCCTGAGTCATTGAGCTTTGAATTCAGATTGCACAATCCTCACTGGGCTATTTTTTAACTTCCAGTGCAGCTTCGTAGAAAAAAACAGGATGTTTTCAGCAGCTATTTCAGCTTTAGAGCAGATGATATATGGTTTAGGGGATTATTTTTTCAGTTGTCTACTTCCCTCATTAATGCAGGATGTTGAAATATGTGAAGAGCCCAGGGGCTCTCGGCAGGAGCTCACAGCACTGAAAAATCTTTCTCAACGTGAGCTGTGGCACTTCCTCAATCCTGACTCACCAAACTCGAGCCATTTGAGTGGGGCCTCCTTTGCTCTGCCAGTTCCTCACCAGGCTCTGACTGAGCCCCACTGCCACAGGGAGCACACCCCAACACCTGCTGCTGTTCCACCCTGCCAAAAAGGGCCTCTGGCCGACCCTGCTGGTCAGAAAGGCACTTTACACTGTGCTTATTCAGGCCAAGGGATTTATTTACCTTCCGGCTGCAGGGGCTGTGCGAGCAGAAAAACAAAGCAACAGCTCCAGAACAGATCCAGCCGTGCCAGCAGCAGCACAGTGACGCGATTCCAGGACGAAAATCAGCCATGCTAGCAGGAAAATGAACCTTCCCAGTGTAAGCACACCAGCAGGAACTCTGCAGTGTGGATGAAAGCCACCCAGCCTTGTTATTCCCTGGCACGTTTCACATTCCCTGGAATAGCTGGCTCTGGGCTCCAGTGGGCTGTGGTGCAAAGGGCACGGGCTGGAGCCCTCTGGCAGTGACAGGGGCAGCTGAGCACGGCCCCCACACAGGATCTCGCATCCAAACCTTGGTTGGTGTCGTGACCAGAGGGGATGAAGATGTTTCACTACAGGGAGCAGCTCTGTGCTGAGGGGAGACATGAATAATCCCAGGCGATTCCACAGGGATTATAAAACAGCCCAGTTCTATTTCTGTAATTTCTGTAATTTCAGAGAGAAACAGACTGACTCAGAGGGAAACCTTAAAATAAACGCTACCTTAGCACACTTGGGTGCTTCCCTGGCTTGAGGATGTTGTCCTTTCAACATCTCCCATCTGTCAAATCTATACTCCTACACTATTTTTTGCTCTTTCTACACTTTTATTGCAAGCAGCTAATCCCTCTGCCGGTATTCCCCTGCTTTTCCATTCCTCTACCCATGAGAGTTCCATATATTCTCTCCTTTCCAGAAAGTGTTTGCCCCCTCTTCTCTCCCATCCAAATGATTCCCTCCCCCCTTTAGCTGCTGGTGGTTGCCACCAACTTCTTAAATCTTTAAACAAGTTCAGATATTTGAAGCTGTCAGGAGTGCTAACTAGTTCCAAGGAAAATTATCCTTCCGTTCCCCACCTCTCTCTCCCACATTCCCTAGTGTTCTGCCCACCAAACCTTGTCCCATCTCCTGAAATCCTGGCTGGTGAGATGTAGTGTTCAGAAGCCTCTTCTGAACAGGAATGCTGGAGTCTGAGACCATCCTTACTCAGCCTGTTCAAGGTTCTTTCAGCTATTTAGAATCCCTTTCTCCTCCTGCTGAGCTTTTTTGCACCCAGTAAGTTTTAAGACAGCTTTCAGTCACCCTGTTTGATCATTGCCATTGTAAGGCAAGTAGGAAACACCTGCTTCCAGCTGTGTGGCACTTGAGAGGGCTTTGCTCCTGTCAGTGCCACTCTTGCAAGCCATCGTTCAGCTGGAGGCAAGAGCAAGAAGTCAAATGGCTGAAAGTGCTTGAGGAGAATGGAGACACTCCTGTCTACAGTGAAACTGTAACAATATAATTTCCTTGTTCTGAATCAGAAAAGTCTGAATGAAACCATTTAATTGTTTACCACACTTTCTGTGAGAAGCAGGTAATTCATTAGCAGTGAGGTCAGCCATGTAAACACAATCTCAGAATAGCTGACTCATTCTAAAAACACACCCACCCTTGCCATAACAGGGCGTGTTAGAGCCCAAAGGGGCCGGTCCTCTGAGGAAAACTGGAATAAGTAACACTTAACACTTACTGGAAGGAGAAAATGGTCTTTTCAGTGTAAAGTAAACTGACTTGCCCTCAGAAAGATAAGAGCCCTTTATCGTGTTACCCCACAGCTGCAGCACTGCCCAGCTTGCTGGCAGGAGGCAGAGCCCACCAGCCTATGGTGCTACCAGAACTCTCCCGGTGCAGGCAGTCACAGCCTCAGCACATCACCCCTGCCTCTTTTTTTTTTTTTTTTTTCATAAGGTGAATGGATTTCTTTGGGGTATCAGTTTAAGGCATGTTTAAAAGTTTGAATTGTCATTCCCAATTCTCCCACTTCTCAAGGACAGGCTCCCTGAACAGCACAGGATGGGCTACTTGAGGGACAAATGCCTGAAGTTTTCTCCTGAGACACTTTCAAAAATCTCTGAGCTCTTCCCAGCCAGTTACTCAGACCTGTTCTCCTGTTTGCTACCACAACAATTTGAAGTCCCCTTCCCCAACCCATACCCTGACCAGTGTGCTCCCTGAAGGACGAGAGAAAGTGGAGCCACAGTCCAACAAACGTGCTTCTGCCACCTGCTTTCGCAGAGGCCACCCCGGGAGAGAGAAGAATAAAATATTTATGAAGAATGGGGTTTAATCTTCAAAGCCTGTGGAAAACACTGAGCCATAGCTCAGGGAGAAGACTCTTGGTGAGAAAGTGAAGCACAAGGCGTGTGGAGCCCAGAGCAGTGGGCTGGCAGCAGGTCTGGCGAATGATGGTGAAACAAAGAATTCACTCAACAGTGAGACTGGCAAGTTTCTCAGGCAAGCTAAGCAAAAATATTTAACAGTGATAAAAGCCCCTTTCACTGGGTTGGTGCTGCTGCAGAGACAGAAGGGAACAGAGTGTTGGCAGGTGTGTCTTTATTTGAAGCACTTGAAGAGGCTGCGCCGGGAACGACCCTGCTCGGGGACGAGACCCGTCCCCGCGGGCTGAGTCCCGCAGCGCCCCCGGCTCCCGGCCCGGGTAGGACGCTCATGGCGGCGACTCCCGCACCCCCCGCGGGCCCCTCACGGTACCGCCCCAACATGGCGGCCGCCGCCACGGCGCGCGCGGCCCCGCCCAACCCTCTCGTCACAGGGCGCGCGCGGGCGGGGCGGGTCCCGTCCCTCCCCGCGCTCGTGCCCGCGAGCGCGCGCGCGCGCGCCCCGACCTCCGCCCGCGCCGGGTCTCGCGCACGGACATGGCGGCGGCCGCGGGCGGCGCGGAGCGGGCCCGGCCGGACCCGGCGGCGCAGCGGGCGGAGCTGGGGCCGCTCCTGGCCACGGCCCTCCGGCCCGGAGAGTCCTGGTGAGCGCGGACGGGCCTCCCCTCCTCTCCCTCTCTCCCTCCCTCCCGGTCCCCATCTCCCGTCCCCCTCCCCTGCGGGCGGCGGGGCCTGCGGGCCCGGGCCGCGCCGCCGCTGAGCGGCCGCGCCGGGCGGGGCCGTGCGTTGCAGGTACCTGGTGGAGAGCCGGTGGTTCAAGCAGTGGAAGAAGTACGTGGGCTTCGACAACTGGGAGATGTTCGGCGCGGGCGATCCCAGCCTGTTCCCGG